CTGACATACTTTTTCCCAAAAGGATTTGGAAAATAGCATAATCACAAAATTCTAACATTATAGGCTATTTCTCCAAATATGCACTGGCTATAATTGTAAAACCCAAATATGCAGCATGGTTTTAACTGGATGCTGTTTTTTATTAATCCACCTGTGGAACTGGCCATGGACTAATATCTTACACCCACTGTGCAAGCAGGGCCGGCCCACAACTTTTTGGCATCTGAGGTGAGGAGCTCAAATGACGCCCTCATACCCCCTCGCTTGGGCCAAAACTTTGAAAGGTCTCAATTCTGCCTTCTTCCTGTTCTACTCCTCTCATGGTACTGCAGAGAGAATACATATGCATCAGCAGCAGACACAATTTTCTACACTCTGGGTCCTAGTGGCATGTTCCCCCCCACAGTCTGGCACCTGAGGCGGCCTCCTCAGTTTGCCTCATGGAAAGACAAGCCCTGTTTGCAAGGGGTGAGCTAGGTGAGGCTGCTTAAGAGAAACACTGATTCAGTACTTTTTTCTGGACAGTGTATTCAATGGTAGATTTTAAAGCTTCCATGAAAAAAATATCAAAGTTATGGTTTTAGTGCTCTGCAACGTTTTCCTTAACCACTGTAAATAATTTTGAGAAAAAATATTTCACCTGGTGTGGAAAATTGTATAACAGGCAATCCCAAAATAATTTAAAATGAGTGATATCGTTTAAAATGAATGAGATATCTATCCTTACAAACTGGGATGAGGGTGGTAATCTTAAAAAGTTAATGCCAGATTAGCTGCTGAATAGCTATGTTTTGATTTATTGTCTTCAGTTGACTTCCATGGAAGTTTTGCCCCAGCAAAGACTAGATTTTGGCAATCAAATTAAAAACACATTACATATTTTATTCAAAGAATGTTGTGAAATTCCAACAAAATATTTGTTGAATATATTTTAACCAACTCTAATAAGAATGGAACTAGCACTTCAGGATTTGCCGTTAATACTTGATTTAATTGGAACAATTATTCAAGATACTAACCAATCATGAAACAGCATGATTTTTTTCAGTACATAATGGTAGTAATTTTAGACTCCCTAAAAACCAAAATGAACACTTCCCAATTCAGCCATGTGTATCCAATGTATCTAAATGACAGTCTGAGAAGGTGCTGAGACCGCCTACTAAAATTCCTTGGTGCAAGTAAAGTAAAAGTATTTGGATGGGATTTATATATGTCTGTGTATACGAATGTATCTGGGGTAGATTTTGGCTCTTTACCAGTACAAACAGAATCAAGAAAGAGAAAAGACCTTTGAGGTCATCCAGTCCCCCCGACGAGCAGAGCTGGCATTGTTTCCTGCACTACATTTACTTGTGTTCTCCAATCCACTTTTAAAAGTGCCAAAATCATGTAATGTCCTTTTGGACTCACCATTTGGTCATTCAACTTTGGCCTGTTTGGAAAGACTGAATAATGTACAGGGAACAACTTTCATATGAAGAATGTTTAGTTTTATGAATTAAAATAATGACTAACTTCAGGCAATTGTGGGAGATTTACCAACTGGACAATTGTTAATCTTCTTCAAATAACAAATTCTCCAATTAGAGTCCACCAAGGCTGGCTATTTCCAAGTTAGCTGTATTGTAATTTTCCACCTCTCCAGTGAGTCATGCCCAGCCTCTCCGTCCCCATGCAGAGAGTGCTGCAGTAGAGGCGGGGGTGAACACTGAGGTACACGCACGCACACACAGAGCACAGTACAGCAAAGAGTCAATGTAACAATCAAGTGAATACAGAGCTACAAGAGGAGACATCATCCCCACTATATCACAGCATCTAATTAGTGTCCTTCAGAGAAAGAATACATCCAGATATTTGCTATAGAAAAGAGCAGAAAGTCTTTCAGCAGGGTAGATTACAAGACACTATTTTTGCTCACCTTTTTCTGAACCAGGTGGTTAAGGAAATCCAAACACTGGCCTAATGTTAGTTAGGTATTACAGTTATCACTTCGAGTTACATCTTCTGGTGTATTTTCTTCTTCTTCATTACAACTACTGTGCTTTTTTCTAGGAAAAGTATCCTCATAGCTCAGGAAACATTCTGTTCAATATTATTTCATCAGAAATGTTGCAATGAATTTAGGTCTCTCCTTTAAAATATCTAAACAAAATTGTCCTTGAATTGTAACTTTGTCACTGCCACTTAGGGTACATCTAGACTACATGCCTCTGGCGACAGAGGCATGTAGATTAGGCTACCCGACATAGTAAAATGAAGCGGCGCGCTGAGCCGACAAACAGCTGATCAGCTGTTTGTCGGCTCAACGCAATAGTCTGGACGCTCCCCTGCCGACATCAAAGGTATTTGTCGACCACCCAGGTAAACCTCATCCCAGGAGGCATACCTGGGTGGTCGACAAATACCTTTGATGTCGACACCCGTGCGTCCAGACTATCGCGCTGAGACGACAAACAGCTGATCAGTTGTTTGTCAGCTCAGCGCAGCAGCCATGTAAATTTAAATGAAGCGTCGATTATTTAAATTGCCGCTTCATTTTACTATGTCGGGTAGCCTAATCTACATGCCTCTGTCACCAGAGGCATGTAGTCTAGACGTACCCTAAGTCTCTTTATATAGTTCTTATATGGTCAGTGTAGTCACAAAAATGAAAGGCTAACAACACTAGCCGGTATCAGGTATTGTACAAGAGTGCTTTTGCTGAGCTCTGCCATTACTTTTCGTTTCTGACTTGCAGTTTCCAACATTGGTTTCCTAAGCTGAACTTGCTCATCATGGCAAATTATTTCAGGTTTCAGGATGAGGCTTTGTGTGGGAATATATAAGGACAAGGCTGAGAAAACTAAACCCTTTTAGACGCATGACTCATTCCAAGATTGGAGCTACAATCTCATGAGATTTTTTAAAAAGAGAAATGCACTAAAACATGTTGAATCTGACCTATCACTGCATTATTCCAGTTTTCAGCCTGTGTAACTCCACTGATCTCAGCAGAGTTACACTGGAGTAATACAATGATGATCCTGGCCCATTCCTATTTGGTCACCAAAGCCTTTTTTTTTTAATGTAAACAGTTTTGCTGGGTTCATTTGAAAATACATTGTTTCTATTAAGGTGATAAGGTTAGAAACAGCTTTTTAAGAGATGTACACAGTCTCTGAATCTAAAGAGAGCATTATTTTCATACCTCCCTTTTTGCCTATGAAAGAGCCACTTAATTCAATGTAACTTTGAAAGAAAAAAGTAAGATGTTTTGCCCTCCAGACAAAATTGTCAGATTTTATTATTTCTGTCCAAATTACAGCAGCGCCTAATAGTACTGAGTTACTAAAAAAGACCACAGTATTTTGCAGAAATCTTATAGCAATCTACTATGCAGCAAAATGCTTGGGACTTTAATCAAGTGCTAAAAAAGTGTACTGTATGGAAGAGTTGTACCTAGACTTCGGGGATGGACTGCGTAATCGAATAAGTCTTTTCAATTTCTAAACTGTAGGATTTTAGGGACTCCATCGTAAACAGTGGTAAATACATTCTAACTTTCATTGTTACTTTGTTATCACTTACACTGTATGTATTTATGATCTGTATCAGTGAAGTTCTGAGTTGGTATTTATTATACAAACATTCCTTCATATAAGAAACGGGGAGAGATTGTAGACATCAGGAAAGAAGACTAAGATAAGTTCACACTTATAGCTTCTCTTCCACCACCTCCCACAGCAAACTCCCAACATACGTAAGAAAAAATGCTATATCACTTCAAAGTTATTTAGATTTTATTGGTAAGAAGGAACCATAAGCAAATGCATCAGTGCTTATATGAGCATCTAAGATAAAGAAACTAAGTACAGGCAGTCCCCGAGTTACGTGGATCCAACTTTTGTCGGATCCGTACTTACAAACGGGACTTTTCTCGCCCCAAAGGACGTGGGCGGCGGGACCGCCCAGACGCGCCGCGGTCCCGCCGCCCACGTCCTCCGCGGGTTTTCTCAGCAGACATCTCAGCTTGAGAATAAAGGACTGAGGGAAGTGAGGTGTGGGAGCATAAAACTGAGCTCTGGAGAAATGTTTGGCTAGAGTTTCCCCTACAATATGTACCAGTTCTGACTTACATACAAATTCAACTTGAGAACAAACCTACAGTCCCTATCTTGTACGTAACCCCAGGCATCCTGATTCAGCCGCTGCTGGTCAGCTGGGCGCTGCTGGTCAGCCCTGTGCTCCTTCCAGTGGCTCTGCACTCCCCTGCCAGCACCTTCACTATGGCCCGGGAAGGGGAGGGCTCTGCACTCCCCTCCAACAGCCATGCTCCATTCCTCCCAGTGGCTCTGCTGCCCCCAAGACTCCATCTCGGCCCACTAGGTTAGCAATGTTCCTGGCCCCAGCCCCACGGCCTATTCCATGAGTGCTCTCACAGGAACCCGAAGATGCTGGGCCAGAGAAGTCTGGATTATGGAGTTTCAACCTGTACAATATACTTAGTTTCTTATGGCCCCTTTTCAAAGTCTGTTGAAGTCAAATGGCATCAATAGGCTTTGAATCAGGAACTACATAATCTCACAGACAAAGAAACAAAGTAAAATTAATGATGTTGATTAAAAACAACCCCAGACTAAAACTCCAGATCAAAACAGCTCTGAAATTAGAGTGGATTCGGATGTGAATGCAAATCTTGGGCCTGATCTGCAAGCAATTAAAAGACAAAGGACACAGTCCCAATAAACTTCACTTCTTAAACAGTGAAAGAACAAACTAATGCAGATAACATGCAAGTAGAAAATAGTGATTGTGCTGGGATGCTTTACCTTGAATATTCAGTCATCTAGCATTGGGAACATCTTCCAGTCTTATTGTAAAAGATTTACAGTTGTGATGCATTGTATTTACAGACCGTGTTTTTATTATAAATTAAATACAATTACATTTTTAATGATAAATAGCAAGTCTTTTGGTAAAGAATTGAAGCCAGAATACCAACAATAGCTACTTACTTCAGTTTTTGGTCGTGCTCCAGTTGACACTGAGCTCGGCAAACTATCTACATCCAGATAGCCTGCCTTCTTATTTCTACAGATTTCCTTTCTCTGATCTCTGTGAAGAAGGCCTGGCTCCACTTTAACAGGGCACTGTAAGGGGATAAATAAGTCCTTTAATAAAAAAAAAGGGAATAAATCCTTTAAAAATGCAAAGACAAAAATACAATTGAGATTGTGTTCTTTAAGTTTATACAGTATAAATCAGGCTCAAAAGGTTATTTTCATTTGCATTTGTTTATGTTTTATTAGACTTTCAGGTCTTATCTACATCATTTTCCCTGGAAGCCTCATAAATACAAAGCAAATGAAACCTTATACTTTCCTAGAAGTGTAACTTCTATTCAAGTTATTTAAATTTGAGGGGGTTTACCCACACCCACTTCATGTAACTCAAGCATCCTACCAAAAGGAGAAAATCTGTTTTTCTTAAAGAATCAGAATTCATGTCACTTCAGATAAAAGACTGAGATTGCTCTTTATCTCTTTTCAGGATCCTTTGAGGGCTAGGAGACCTACACCAAACCACAACAGGCCAGACTTGACAGTATTGACAATTCTGAAGTACAAAAGCATTTTGTAATTCCCAGCTGCATAACTCCTCTCCTGCCTTCTCTCTGCAGAAACTGCACAGACTCCAGTAGTTGTGCATTCTCCATGCCCTTTAAGTTCCCTTCACCTTTTCCACAGTAGTCACCAAGGCACTTTCTGGCCACTTCCCCTGGACCTGAGGGAAACAGAGGTCCCCCTCCCTTGAGGCCTCCATGTTACTGACCTCAATTAGCCCTTGTTCCCTCTCCATGGCACTTCCTTCCTCCCTCTTTATCAGCTCTGGGCTGATGGGCTAAGTGGTTCCTTATCTCATCCACCCCTCCAATCTGATTCTCTAATTACCTCCATCAGATTTCTCAAGAAATATCTGGGAGATCAGAGTGCAGGCTCTTTTGTTGTTCCTTGAACTCTGCCAGAACTGCCCACCCCCTCTCCATTAAAAAAAAACCCCCAAAAAACATTCTAGTTGTCTTCTTTTGAAAACATAAAAGTTAAAAAAAAAAAAAAAGCCTGTCTGGAACATTAAGGTGTGTCTAGACTGGCATGATTTTGCGGAAATACTTTTAATGGAAAAGTTTTTAAGTTAAAAGTATTTCGCAAAAGAGCGTCTAGAATGGCACGGATGCTTTTGCACAAAAAGTGCTTTTGCACAAAAGCATCCGTGCCAAGTATAGACGTGCTTTTGTGCAAGAAAGCTCCCATGGCCATTTTAGCCATCGGGCTTTCTTGTGCAAAAAATTAAGGTGCCTGTCTACACTGGCCCTCTTGCGCAAGTATTCTTGCACAAGAGGGCTTATCCCTGAACAGGAGCGCAAATTAGAATGTCAGTGCTCTTGCGCAAATTCAAGCGGCCAGTGTAGACAGCTAGCAAGTTTTTGGCAAAAGCGGCCACTTTTGCGCAAAATCTTGCCAGTCTAGACGCACCCTAACAGTTTAAAATAACAAAAGTCAAGAAATGTAACAATTTATGTTCCAATAACAATGCTAATTTAGCCACACTCCACATATGTAGTTTCTTCTATTCCACTGTTTCTGGTTATGTGTCCGGCTTAATAAATTGAAAAATGGCTGCCTTAAATAATACAAAATGGGCTAATATGAATTACTTAGAATCCAACGATTTTCACTTGTGCCCCCTCCCAGTCCTGCTGTTCCTTTCCCCTGGGGCTGCTTCCTTTGATATAGAGGCAGGCAGCTCCATGGGAGCTGCTACACGTGGGGAGCTGACTTAAAAGAAATCTAATGTGGCAGAAATCTAATGTGATTCCTATTCATATGGGGTTTCTGCCTTCGTGGGCAGTATGAATAACCCCAATCTCCTCTGCAGAGGTAGGCTCAGATGTAGATGTATCAAAATGGACAAAGTCATTTCCCTAATTAATGGGTTTGAATCTGAGGTTGTGATTCAAACATTCCTGCACTTGTAATAGTTTTTGAATAGATCTAGCAGCAAGGGAGATAATATCTATCTTTATTAATGGTAGAAGTAGTCTTTGGTTTTTATTTGACTTGTGTAGTATTTTGTCAATATCTGTATGAATATTGTTATGGCAGGTGTCACTATGTGGTGCTGTTACTTTTTTCTTAGGCTGTGTCTACATTGGCATGATTTTGCGCAAAAACATGCTGCCTGTCTACACTGGCGGGGAGTTCTTGCACAAGAACACTGACGTTCAAATGTGTGAAATCAGTGCTTCTTGCGCAAGAACTACGATGCTCCCGCTCAGGAATAAGCCATCTTGCGCAACTGTTCTTGCGCAAGAGGCCAGTGTAGACAGGCAACATGAATTTCTTGCGCAAGAAAGCTCGATGGCTAATATGGCCATCGGAGCTTTCTTGTGCCAGAGAGCGTCGACATGGGCACAGATGCTTTTGTGCAAAAGCACATGCCAGTGTAGATGATCTCTTGCGCAAATACTATAACGCAAAAACTCTTGCATTAAAAGTATTTGCGCAAAATCTTGCCAATGTAGACGTAGCCTTAGTGTGTGCCATATGTTCAGTCGTAGGAAGACATGCTGTATAGTTGTAGATTCTGCATAGCAGCAGGTCACTAGAGGGAGCTGAAGAAGTAGCAGGAGAGTAAGGTAAGGCAGAATTGGTTTCTGGGGTCTGAGCACTGGTGCTGGCTGAGATGCCTGAAAGAAGGGTTTGACTGCATTCTGTTTGTATCCTATTCTTTGCCTGTGGCCTATGATAGTTTAGTCCTCCTATGAGCTGTAATATTTTGGTCTAATTTTGGTTGGATTTAGTGTGCAGGTGCTGGATGACATTGTGATATCCAGGAGTTTGGACTAGATGACTTGATGGTTCACTGCACACATTTTCTTGCGTAAATAGTAAAAAGAGGGTTTTGGATGTACAAACATAAGAGAATGCAGCAGAATCAAAGCAGTGTACCATAGGTGTTAGGCTACGTCTAGACTGGCATGATTTTGCAGAAATACTTTTAATGGAAATGTTTTTCCGTTAAAAGTATTTCCGCAAAAGAGCGTCTAGATTGGCAAGGATGTTTTTGTGCAAAAAGTGCTTTTGCGCAAAAGCATCCATGGCCAGTCTAGATGCGATTTTGCACAAGAAAGCCCCGATAGCCATTTTAGCCATCGGGGCTTTTTTGCACAAAACAATTCTTTCCTGTCTACACTGGCTCTCTTGAGCAAGTATTCTTGCGCAAGAGGGCTTTTTCCCGAGCGGGAGCGTGAAAGTATTTGCACAAGAAGCACTGATTTTGTACATTACAAAGTCAGTGCTCTTGTGCAAATTCAAGCAGCCAGTGTAGACAGCTGGCAAGTTTTTGCGCAAAAGCAGGTGCTTTTGCACAAAATCTTGCCAGTCTAGACGCACCCTTAATATCTATGCAGTGAGCTGGTGGTATGATTCTCAGTATAAGGTGACACACTTGTGCTAGCTCTCTTCTAGTTAGCAAATGAAAAATAGGGCATCTCCACAGGTGTGCGATTGATGGGATGGGCTGAGCGCACATACAGTGTCTTGGATGGGCAGATATTCTGGGCAGCTAGTACATCTCACAACTCACACTTCCTCAGCTACATTCTGTTTTTTGTTCAGTAGCTAACTGAAAACTAACACAAATATTTCTCCTCAAGATGGAAATCACACCCAGAGATCAAAGTGTTAACATACCCTATGTTTTAATTAAATATGCTGTTCTTTTAAATTGCATATTTAATTTATCTTTCACCATTCATCCCACCTAGTCCCTGTTTCCTCAAAGAGATCTGTAAAGTTAATATAGTCAATAATTTGCTCTGTATCCATTACATATTTTATTCTTGTCACCCACATTTAGGTTTTAAGCTAATTCAGTGATTTCTGCTACTTGTGTAATCTTTTGCTTCTGTAATGGAAATGAGGTGGCAGATTTATTGTGGATACTTCCTATATTTCACTTGTCTTTAGATTGCATAAATTCTGTGAGGGAAACAAGTAGCTGAAATGATGTTAGTAAAGAAATTTTTTGAGCAAAACATGTAAGTGTATCTCGCATCTGTGGTGATAGGGAAGGGGTCATTTGATGATGATGGATCGATTTACAGTATACTAGTGAGCTGAGAAAGAAGGGTTGCATTTTTCTTATCCAAGGGGACATCAAAGTGTATGCTTGGATGTAACTCAGTCAGCAATACAATCATTAAAATTTGCCTTTGAGCAAAGCCAGTCAGTATGTCGGCTGTGCAGGTTTACACTCCTATTACAGTATGATGACCCAACTGATTAGTTCTATGAATGGTTTCAAGAGACATTCATTGAAATACCAAGTCAACAAGATACCTTATAACTGGGGACCTGAATGAGACAATGGGAAGTGTAAGCTCTCATAAAGAAGAAATAGGAAACAGTTATCCAGTTTACAAAATGAGAAGGGAAGGTGTTTAGTGTAATTTGGCTGCTCTAATCACTTGGTCAACATAAACACCCTTTTCTCCTAACAAGGGATGTGAAAGTGTAGCCAGGTACACAGTTAACTGATGAGCCAGGGCTCATTGGTTAATGTGTATGGTTACACCTCTCCTCCCCCATACTGCTGTCTCTGTATCAGAGGCAACAGTGCAGAGGTGGAAGAAAGGAGAGAACAGCAATAGCCTGAAAACAGCTCATGAGTTTTCAGTGTTACTGAACTTGAGCTGTAGCTTGGATTAGCCTTGAACCTGACATCCAAAACATAGCCTAAATCTGGTTTGGATCAGAATATCCTTCCTTGACCAAAATCTAATTACAAGATGTGGTGAGGTGACTGCCCCACATTGGCTGGAAAGTTAAAACAGACAGAAGGGAGCCAGTGCAGAGTACTGGCCAATGACGGAGAGGCTTTTTAATAGCCAATCAGGGTGTGGATTGCTGAGGCAGTCCTGTATAAAAAGAGCTGCCCAGCAGAGAAAGAGTTAGTTAGGCCCTGACTAGGGAGTGTGCAGGACCTGGTTCATGGAGAAGCACCTTTAAGAGAGTAGTGCTGGGCTGCCTCAGGTGGGGCTAGAGAGGGAGGCTTCTGCCTGATATCTGCCAGGCTGCTGGCCTTGCTGCTAGGACCAGGAGGGTGCAAAGGGTTACAGAGAAAGTGGCCCAGGGAACTAGAGGCAGTGAAGGGGTGAAGAGGAGGGAGGAACAAGGCTGCTCCAGATGGTCCCTGGATTGGGACCCAGAGTAGTGGGCAGGCCTGGGTCCCCCCTCCCCTTCCTCTTGCATCACACCTTGACACCAAGAAGTGGCATATACAAACTATGGCTTGCCCTTGTGACAGAGGGGCTGGGCTTGAAGGCCACAGTAGCAGTAGAGATTACGGACTGCTGATACAACCCCCTGGAAGGAGGATGGACTATCATTGGAGTGGGCGCTGCTGGAGGGCAGTGTCCTGAAGATGACACCATGGTCTGGGGGTGATGTGGGTCCAGCGTCCCTATGTGGACAGTGGAGTGACGGATGAGGCACCAGCCAGAGGGAGGTGTCCTGCTGACAACAGCTAATTTCTAGTACTACCAGCAGGAAGCACCACAGCGGTGAGTCAACCCCATGACACAAGGCTTTAAAAATCTGTCACATTCTGTAAATGGGGTGTGCATTCTTACCAGCTGTTTCTGCCTTTTGGTAGAAGGAGTGCTGGAAGGAGAAGAGCCAGCACTGAGCGCCTCTTCAATATCTAAATTCAATTGTTCCAGTTTCTTCATGAGACATGAAATAGAGTCTGACCACTCAGATCCTTTTTCTAGTTGGGTCTAAAAGAAAACCAAACACAGATGAAGTCTGGGAGCATTAAAGCTCTTTATGAGCTGTAGATTTGTTTTTTGCCTACACTCCAAAACAAACAAAGAACAACCAAATCTGATCAACTGTCTGCCTATCCTGGAGTGGCTTCATCTACATAGAAGGCTTCAGCTATCATTTCTGTCTTATTGGACAAGTTGAATGGTCAGATATAAAGAGCAATCACAAACCATTCAGTTGTACACATCTCAATGTCTCTGAGATATAGCGTCTGGGGTGTTTGACAGCCAGTTCAAGCTAAGAATACACCAATAGAACCATAGATGTATGCTACCATCTTTATGGCTGACCTAGAACAACGTTTCCTCAACTCCTGTCCCCTCTTACCACTTCTCTACTTACGCTACATCGATGACATCTTTATGATCTGGACGCATGGCCAAGAAACACTGGAGACATTCCACAGAGATTTCAACAACCTACACCC